TCGTAGTACGTTATCCTACACGCTAATGGCATTTGATAGTATCAGACATCATTACAAGAATTAGGCCTAGTATTGAATTCTATTGTAGTCTTTGAGGCACCATAAAAGATTGTTTTCTCTGATTTTCCTGTAGATTTTCAAATCAGTAAAAATGTTATATGCATTAAATACAAAAATGTCATTAATGTCTAATTAGAATATTACATGTTTTTTTTTTTAATGCAGCCTCATGACTTTTGGATAGGATACCAAAGTAAACAGGCATGATTCGGTTGGCCTTGGAGACACTTCCGATTACTTTTCCAGTGCAGATTTTTTGATGAGATTAGTTTCTAGCATAAGAAAGTCTTGATACATCTGAACTTACCCTAATGATAAGAAGGTCATAAAATTGTAGCTAAATGAATGAAATATTAAACGCAACTTAATTGGTGTTATAATATCTACCAGAAACAAGCATTATAAAAAGTGCAACTCTGGTTGTGGCGAACAATGCCATATATACTATGGAGAATCAAATCATTTAGGTGTAGGTGTACGTATATGCAGAGTAGCCGGTTTTCTAGGTGTACGCATGTATGGAGTACCCATAATATTTAATTCTTGATTGGTTTGCCGCTGTCTTGGGTTGTTTTAAATAAGTACTATCTGCGCCAGCCTTAATAAGGTCTCAATATCATGTTTAGAGTTTCCTTTGATTTTGAAATGGCTCTTTATACTTCGACTTTCGTTTCCAATTTCCAGGACAGAATACAATGTAAGTACATAATATGCGCAGAAGTACGATACTTGCCAGCGTCTCTAATGGCAGGTGTTTTCACAGGTTTATCTCTGTTTATGGAAGCAAAATAGAAGATGTTTAGTTAGCATGTACAACCATCTTCTCTTCCAGATAGCTTTCGATCTGATCCAGCATGAATATTTCTCAACAATCCGTTTTTTCGACTCAGGTACTCAAGCCGTTTTATGAAGATGTAGAGACATTTTAAATCGAGTCCCTTACTCCGAATTCTTAGCTCAATCGTGGCAACTTTTAGGAAGAACAATTGCATATAAGTACTTGAAGAAAATGTCTTGATCATCACAAGCCTCTTTAAACGTGCAACAAGCTATCATGCTTTTCTTGGACATTTACAACGCGTGTGCCTATGGTCTCATTACGACTCTTGTCAAGAAAACATTATACAACAATGATCATACAATTGCTTATTCAGAACAACGATAGTGGGAATATTTCTTCAGTGAAGACCTCACAACATGGTATACCTCCTCAACGGAGCTGTCACGACAAAAACAGCTCGTTCAGAATGTAGAGGTGATAGCAATAGGGCTTCTGACTGGGGATGGGGAGCTAATTATCACGACATTTAAACTCGTGACATTGACCCACGTGACCCAGGTAATATATTTATGTTGTTTAAGCACACAATGTGGATATTACTTTCGAAAACGATAACTTGATAATGTTGATCAATATGCTGTTTCATAAAAATGTTACCGTCTATACTCAACTTTAAATAAATGCAATTGTAGACAACATATACCTTGATATGCTATTGCAAACTTTGATCTTAGTCTATTAATTTACTGGATGGAGAATGACCATGATCTTCCTGCGCATCATGCGGAGGTAGATCTGGGATATGTGAAGTGTACAGGTGACTTGACCTATAAGCAAATATATTTGGTAACATAAAATATATTTGGTCTCGTTCTTTACGGGTATATTTGATGGCTTGTTTTCTTACAATCATAGGACAAATATCGCACCATGCTTTTCATTTACTGTAATTTGAAGCACATAAGCAACATGTTTACACACCTTTATTTCATGTGACATACTAGTGTTTATTCATTTTCTGTGACATACTAGTGTTTATTCATTTTCTGTGACATACTAGTGTTTATTCATTTTCTGTGACATACTAGTGTTTATTCATTTTCTGTGACATACTAGTGTTTATTCATTTTCTGTGACTTATTAGTGTTTATTCATTTTCTGTGACATACTAGTGTTTATTCATTTTCTGTGACATACTAGTGTTTATTCATTTTCTGTGACATACTATTGTTTATTCATTTCATGTTACATACTATTGTTTATTCATTTTCTGTGACAAACTAGTGTTTATTCATTTCCTGTGACATACTAGTGTTTACTGTACTTGTTAGCATATTTTTAAGTTTTCCTTTACTCTTTCAACTGTACAGTCTTTGTATATATTATTGCAAAAATTATATTTGTGTATATATTGTATAAGTTCTGATCCAGCTTGGGAATAATGCATTCTACAACAACCATACTGAAGCAAATACAAAGCAGATGCACGATGCTCAATACAGATCATCTGCATCCAACATTCCATTCATGCACTGAAACATTGTAACATGTACATTTGCACGAAATATACTTAAATAAAACCCTTAAAGATCATTTAATCATGTTTCTTGATCTTCCAGTAGCAATACCCCATAGCAGAACCATGCCTCCCCTTTGATCTTTTATCTTTACCCTTGCTATAACAATAACAAAGCATTTCCTTTTATTTCCTGTCTGAATTGCTGCATTGCCTTCAAAAGTAGAAACTGTTATGTCCTATATAATTATTAACAGAGCTTTAATGATTACGTTCAGTAACTATGTGTCCTGGGTTTTGCATTTTAAATGAAGATTGGTCCTTCAGAGCCACGAACTTTCGCAGTGGTGGCGAGAGGCGGTGGGGCGGGGCTAGACATCTGACATATAAAAAACTGTTCTCTGTAACAAAGGAAGGAGGTCACTAAAGAACGTTGTCCCCGGAGAATCAGTAAGAACGCCACTAAAGAACATTGCCCCTGGCGCCACGAAGCAGAAGCTTTTCAAAATTACTCCACCTCTTCCTACCCATATTTCTCAAATAGCAGTCTGATTCTGATATTAAGACATAGTCACAGAATGATCTAATGACTAAATTGTTCCAGCTTTTCCACAATAAAGATGTCTTTGTCATTTAAAAGACGATGCCAAATCTAAACATCATCATTTTTACCTACAGATCCCAGAAAAAAGGAGATTCTAAGGAATCACCTTGATGAACTTAATAAAAATCAAGGTCTTACTGTTCAAGTCTCAGAGGCAGAAGATGTGCTTTTAACAGGCACAATTGTTACCGAAGCAAACCGCACCAAGCGAACATTAGACCAAACATATCACACGAGAATGAAGTATCTCATAATAAATATTGCTCTGTGGGTTTTGGTAACTAAAACTCAGAGACTATGAATTTTGTTACATAATTCTTGAATAAAAGGATTTTTTTCTGCTTTTAGACAGCGTTAACTAAATTTTACAACGTCACTTGATCTCGAATTTCCTTTATATGGCAACTAATGTTATGAGTTTACTCATGAATGTATGCACAACACTAAATTCAATATATTATTAACTGACACAAGACTACTTGAGCTGACATTTACTTCAAAAGCGTGTAACAATCTATTCAGTTATTAACCGGCTAATACAATTGGAATTCCTAAATTTACATTTTGGTGACAAAGTCAGAATTTCAAATTATACGACAATATAAATTTTTTAACTTTACCGGGGAAATAATCACGATAGAGGTTTGTTATAAACTGGAAAATGTTAAATGAAAATGATATTGATGGTATATTCTACACACTTCATAATAGATGGCATAAACAAAGTTGAAAAATTAAGACAAAATGAAATAAAGATGAAATTTAAGTACTTTTCAAACATAACGGATACGATGAATTATTTAACAAGTGACAACCAGTAGAAAACAGTATTATATTAAAATAGATGATGTGTTAAAGAAACATTTCTCCAGTGATGGAGGAAGCATGTTATATAGACACTATTGTGTAGGATTATGAAACTTTTGAGGCTTTAATACACGACGAATTTATCGTATTTAAAAAATGTATGAAAACCAGACTAAGAGAAAGTTAAAGCTTTTAAACACGTATGTGATGTGAATTTTGCAATAAGCTCAAAATCAAAAGGACAAAAGTTAGAACACAAACTACATCAGTCAAAACAATAAAACGCGATAAGGTAACAACTATTGATCAAATTTTCTAATATTAATAAATGTCATCACAAACAGATTGAAATAAAGTAACATTAACAATATGAAGTTAATTGCAACTACTTCTATTTCTTCTTGTAATTGTGGCTGAGCCGCATCTATTTCAGCTGGATGGAAGTTTTCGTCGAAATTTCTTTGTTTTCTTCGTTTTTTCTGCTATTTTTCCAGCTGCTTTAGCGGTTTGTTCTAATGAGGGAAGAAGATTCTTGTTAGTTTCTGTTTAAATAACTGTCATGTACCTTCTGCAAAAGCCACCTGAGAATCCCACTATTCAGCAGATGCCATCTAATATCTCGACCTAGAAAATGGAACTTAAAGGACAAGTATATTTGACACAACAGGTGTAATTGGAATTCTGATTCGACCAGCTTTTCTCCGCTACGGCGCCTCACGTGAAAGATGACCTACTTTCAGTTTGGGATTCGTTTCCTATTGGCTGAAATAGTACGTAACCTCATTGTATCACCACATGCTAAACAAATGTTGGCTATTGAGATTACAAAACACATTCATATTCCAAATTTTTGTTAATGTCAAGAGGACTAAAAAATAATAATCTTTATATTGGTTTATAAACAGTTATTACAAGAAATGTCAATAAATGCATAAAAACAATTCCTTAAATATAATTTAAACATTTAAACTCCTTGACTATATAATAGAAAAGTGATGTGATTATGATTTTTAACGTAGCTTTAACAAATTTTCAGCCATATCGCTACGATATCTGCAGTGTGGCAGTTTATAGTGATGTATAGTACTTGGGCATCATGCCGCAGACATGTAGCATGATGTCCCACCCAGTCACATTATCCTGACACAAGGCCGACCAGTCCTAACACTAACCTCTTAATGCTGAGCGTCAAGCGAGGCAGTTGTTAGTACCATTTTTGTAAGTCTTTAATATGACTCGATCGGGGATCGTACCCACGACCTCCCGCATCCGAGTCGAACGCACTAACCACTAGGCCACCGGAGCGGTTAGTATAATAGAAAACAATATGGACTACGAGTCAATAGCGCCCAGTAAACTGACGCTCCAAGTCCGAATGAAAATCTGACTAATTTACATCGTAAGACCAACCACCCCAACCCCCAACCTGTCCATTATATCAAAAGGAAAAATAATAAAGATTGTAAGGTAAAAGAAATACGAAGCCACCATCGTCTCCATATAAATTAAATGGCAAATTCTTTATATTTGTTAGAGCGCATAGTCGCAAAATGTGCATGCTCCATATGTGTAAATAAGTGTATTCGTTAATAATCCGGCATTACATTTTCGAAACGCAGTATTTTCTGAACATAAATTATGAACAGTCGCATATATACAAGAAATTTCAATTTTACTCACTTATGCAAACTCACCCCACCCCTTTAAACAAACACAAACACACATACCATAAATACCCCAGCATCGATCTTGAAGCCTTACCAAGCTTTTTCGCCATGACAGATGACAGCGAAAGTCTGCGAAATTTTGCCGTTAGCTTTATTGCATAAAAATTTAACACAGCGGTTCAAAAAACTCGTTTGAAAGAATCTTAACATTTATTGTTTATTTACTTATTTAGGATAGTAGTCACTGAGACAATATACCTTTAGATAGTAAATAATCTACTAAAGTGTGAAATTTCTTTGAACAATTGACAAAATTCATAAAAAAAACATTTGCCCGAGTGGTACATAAATGCGAATCGATACAAGAATAGATGTGGATCATTATTCTGCTGACCAAAGCGTGCAATGTTTAAAAGTTTTTGTCAGCTGTAGTCTTTCTGAATATGGTGTTTTATCGGCCTTCGTACAGTTTGCATGCTGTAACCCACATTTAATTTTAAGTGGACATACTTTGTCTCCCCTCCTCTGGTTTTGTGATGAATATAATAATTTGCATGTTGTGTAAGATTTAGCTTCTTCGTTTTCTCATGTCCTTTGTTGTAGGCAATATATATACATGGCAGCCAGTATAGATCTACATGTAATATATATATATATATATATATATATATATATATATATATATATATATATATATATATATATATATATATATATATACATACATGGCAACCAGTAGATATCTACATGTAATATACATGTATATATATATATATATATATATATATATATATATATATATATATATATATATATATATATATTTTTTTTTCTTTTTTTTCTAGTACTCTAAAAATTTTAAATAGTATTTACTATTAATTACACTTTCTCCTGCCAATAAACCAACAAAGCCAAGTAGTTTTGTATTTTCATTTGTCCGTCCTTACTTCATTGTAAAGCTGTTGTTTGTTGTTTTGGGGCTTAACGCCATTTTTCAGCAAACGATTCATGGCGGCCAGTATTAATGCTGGAGGAAGAAACCGGAAAAATCACAGGAAAGAACCACCGACCCAAGAGAAGCTACTGGCAAGCTTTCTCTTATTTTCGCTTTAGCCGAATCCTAGACTCGAACTCTCGCAGACAGAGGTGAGATGGCAGTGATCCGTAACGGACAGCGCTTTAGACCACTGGGCCACTCGGGGCCCCTTGTAAAGCTGTATTCGACTTGTTTTGAAGCCACATTTTTAACGCTGTTAATGTATAAAAAAAACAAACATTGCAACTAACTGTTACTCAATTTTTGTAAATATTATCCTCTTATGCAAATATCAACTTATACTGAAAATGTATGTATGTATGTATGTATGTATGTATGTATGTATGTATGTATGTATGTATGTATGTATGTATGTATGTATGTATGTATGTATGTATGTATGTATGTATGTATGTATGTATGTATGTATGTATGTATGTATGTATGTATGTATGCACGCACGTAATTACGTAATTACGTACGTACGTACGTACGTACGTACGTATGTATGTATGTATGTATGTATGTATGTATGTATGTATGTATGTATGTATGTATGTATGTATGTATGTATGTATGTATGTATGAATATTGATTTAGCATCTTATTTTGCTATACCTCAGAAATTGTTAAAATGCACGTAAAATTCGCAAGCTACACAAGTTTACACATAAATTTGTTTTGATTTTTTGTTTTATAATATTTACAAATTACTGTTTACATAATGTTTATCAAGGATACACTTGCATCTACTAATTTTGCAGCAACTGATGTTGTTAATACTGCTGCTGCTGTTACTACTACTACTACTACTACTACTACTACTACTACTACTTTTCTTTATAACATCATTAGTTTTGGACACATATCTGGACATATGTATGTATCTACTATAAAGTTATGCAATAACATTTCTCAACAGAGGCGGAAGTTGATATTTCTTTCATAACATCGTGACAGGATATTACATCCCAGTTCCGCGTGAAGAATTATAAAAATTCCCTACAACGGCCGTTCTCTGTGAAGGAT